AGACGATAGCATATTGAATCAAGGACGAGTGCTTAGTGGAGTGTCACAGGTCTCTGTCCTAAGTGCGCTATTTTTTCTGCTTTACATCAACGACCTTAGCACGGACCTGCAAAAGCACTGCTACAAGTTTGCTGACGATGTGAAAATTGCTGGGTTTCCGCAACTGAGTCGGTCCAGAGGGACTTCGATAAAACCTATGCGTCGTTGTTTCACATGGGGTCTGCCTCTTAATGGTTTGAAATGTCAACAGCTGATCATGAATGGCGGCATGCAAGGTGGTAGGACACTGGGACTCCCGGACCAGTCCCAACAAATAACCACCGTATCCACAGACAGAGACCTGGGTGTCATTGTTAATGTGGATTTCAAGCCTGGACTTCTGTGCGGAGGGGCACCAAAATGGGCATCAAGAGCCTTACACCAGCTAAGACGTGCGGTGAGCTTAAGGAAATCTGAATTCTTTCTACCTCTCTACTAGACTTCTGTGCTCCCGCGTCTCGAATACTGCATCCAGGCTTGCAGCCCCGTTCCTGATCTAGGAAATGAAGACATATGAATCAGTTCAACTTTACTGCAGTAAATGGGCTTAAGACATCCCTCTTACGAGCGGTGTCTCGAAGATCTAAACCTCTTCTCGCTGAGTAGGCGCAGTCGAAGTGGAGACTTGGTCCAGGAGTACAAAATCCTGGGAGGCTTTATGGACGCACCAGAGGGAGCGCTGCTCAAGCTCAGTGAAAAAACGAATTAGAGAGGACAAGCTCGAAAACTAGTGAAGACGGAGTGAGAACCCGCATGAGAGCGTCTTCCTTCAAAGCGATGGTTGTGACTGACTGGAATAGACTGTCGGATGAAGTCAATGCTACCATTTCGACAGCAGATTTCAAGCTCAGCCTAGACATTTTATGGACCAGGGTTCTCGGGGAGGGGGGTGGNGGGGGGTGGGGATTTAGTTGAACAGTGTGGACGCAAGTAACTCGGGGACCGCTACCAATTTATTGCTGAATCACTCAAAATCATTTCTTTCTTTCCCCTTCTCTTCGTATTCCCCCTAACCTCTCTAGGAACTCTAGGCTTATAATTTAATCTAGCTCTATTAGATACCTTCACCCTTTTGGTCCAAAGTTTTAGTATCA